TTGTGCTGTGTGATAAAACTGCACATTTTAGAGTGGCCTTTTATTGTGGCCAGCCTAAGGCACACCTGTGCAATAATCATGCTGTCTAATCAGCATCTTGATATGCCACACCTGTGAGGTGGATGGATTATCTCGGCAAAGGAGAAGTGCTCACTAACACAGATTTAGACAGATTTGTGAACAATATTTGAGAGAAATAGGCCTTTTGTGTACATAGAAGAAGTCTTAGATCTTTGAGTTCAGCTCATGAAAAATGGGGGCAAAAACAAAAGTGTTGCGTTTATAATTTTGTTCAGTATAGTAGACAAGAGTAGGCGGCTGCAGTGAGGGGAGGAGTGAAATAAGCGCAGTCGAGACGGACAGTTCTGGCCTCTCAAAGTGGAACAAATACCAATGAGATCAAAGGCAGATATCGCGTTATTCTCACTCGTGTGCTGTGTTGCTAATTAACATGATATAATTTCAGTTCTGTTGCTTTATATGAAAATAAATATGATGAACAAGACACTCAAAGTACTTGCTATTTAATTCCATACAAAAGGCGTATTTATCATCCATTTTTACTTTTATACAAACATGTATTTTAGATTTTTATAGAAATATGACAACAATCACATATCTCACACAGAGATCGCACTGTCAAAGTGTTTGGGAATATTCATGCATAATTTAAATACATAATCACATGAAATCAGATATAAAAAACAAAAAATTTTAGAAGAGAACTCAACATCACGGTTGTCTGAACCAATGAGCATTAAGCTGTGTTGTCAGCCAGTCGTTTCCCATCATGCTTTTGGTCAGCACAGTCGGTGGAGAGGAACTGCGCCCGACTGCACAATCCGACACAGACGCCTCGCCGTCGCGAGAATCCGACACAGCCGCCTCGCTATTGTGAGAGTTTTTTGGCACACGTCAGCATGACATCAGAGCAAGTCGGACGTAACTCAGACACTTTTCTAACCGGCATTCATCTCGCAGTGATTGGTTCTGTGCAGATTTTGCTCATCTCAAACGAGCCTAATGGCTTGATATGAGAAAAGGGAAATTATTTAACGAGATTAAAAAAAAAACACTGGGTGGATTTTTATCATTATAGGGTGGTTGTGTACACACACTGCCAACAAACATTTCAGTTCAAACAACTTGTAAAAGTGCATGTAGCATCTGATGACGATGACCCCTTTAAGACAAATTTGTACTGTTTAAAACCAATGTAAACACCACTAATACAGAAAAACACATTTTTGTAAAATAAAACCTTACATATACTGATATACAGTATGTGACAACTTCCCATCAAAGACTATAGAATACCCAAGACGTGTCACTCGTATAGTTTTGAATGGGGAAAAATGCAACGCTCAATATGGCCGCTCAAACGCAGGAAGCCCCGCCTTCTGAATGAAAGAGCCAATCGCTAAGTGGCAACTAAACTAATAAAAACAAATCCAGCCAACACTGAGATCATTCCACACACGCACGAACCTGAGTGACTTCGTGGGAGAGACAGCAGCGCCATCTTGTCAAGTTCACGCGTCAGGTAAGTGCCACTAAATAAATGTTATTTTTTAGACTAAATTTATCGACAAAATCGTACAACATATTCAGTGTTTTTGATTGGATATTTAGAAGTGTTTTGTAAGTTATATGTCTGAAGAAAAGTGGATATTTAAGTTAAGTGGATGTCAAGTTCACGAGTCCGGTAAGTGGCACTGAATAAATATTTGTACTTAGACTGAATTGATCAAAATGTGTATATTAAAAAGGTGTAAACGTTTTATTTAAAACATATATATTTATACACAAACGTACAATATATATAAAAACATTGAATAACCATTGTATGAATTATAAGTCTGAGGGAAATTAACTGTTTAAGTGAAGGGAACGTGGTCTTTCAGCTTGTTTAATCCTTTAATGTCAAAAGCTGTGTTACAATAATGAATTTTAGGTTTAATTTTGCTGCGTTGTATGATATTTTAGTGTTTCCGTGACATTAAAATATATGAGCTCACGCGGTCTTTCTCTGTACTGTATGTTGATGCTTTAATCGAAATCTTTTAAACGTGTAATGAAAACCACAGTAATGTGCTTATTTGAAGTTAACATAGCTCTGTTGAATGGGTTTTTTGCGTGTGCAAACTTTTGCATTTATTGTCCCGTGATGTTAAATTAACAACCAGCCATGGTGAAATGTCACTCTTTTCAAATGGGGTGAATTCCAAACGCCGTTTCTGTTGTAACTTTTAATGTAAAATAACTTACATTTTTAATATTATATATTAAAATCAATATATATTCAATAGTTTATTAATTAAATTAATTATAAATGTAAATATATAATTTTTTTTAAAAAGTGTTACTGTCAGTCAGGGTCCCGCCACTTTGGTTGGTCTTGTCCTGTCCATGTGGTGTGGTGTGTTTTCGGGGCATGGGGTCTGGATCCTGACACTCTTGTTTGGTTTGGTTTCGGTTCAATGTCAGGATCCGATGGTCATACTCCATGTTTGGTCTTTTGTTGTGAGCACATGGTGGGAAATTCTTTGTCCTTGGTTCATGTACTTGTGTGTTGTGTTTTGTTTGAGCACAAGGCTTTTGATCTTGTTCACTGGCTACAGTGTCAGTTCTTACCTATATGCAAAGTAGGAATTAAAAAATATTTATTAGGGAAAGTATATTCAGGCGCATAACCACTCTTTGCATCAGGCCAGGCCAAACGAGCGAGGAAAAGTCTCACTGACCAGATCAACAGTGACCGCAAACAGTAAGCTAGATACAGGAACAGTGAATATAACATGATGCAGAGGCGATTAAAGCAGCGTTAGAATGGAACATGTTGAAGCTCATTCCCATGTATTGCGCTCTGCCGATGGACTCGTTGAAGGCTGCAGTAGTGGATAAATTGGTTGCAGTCGGTCTATAATCTAAGATAAACTAGTTAAAATAATGCATATTCACAGAAGTAAATTTAGTGTGTTTGTTATTCAGAACGAATTTAAGCAGCATAGTAAATGTCAAGACAGTGCGCCTGTGCTTACATTTTACTCTGTTACACAGTTCTACACTGTATTTTAGATTTACATGAATCATTAATTAAATTAATTAATTTAAATTAATGAATCATGTTACATACAGAAAAGGTGGTTTACTCTGCATCTGAGCATTAAAGTGGAAGCACATTCAATAAGGATATGCTAAATGTCCTTTTTGTCACATTACTTAATATTTGACACAAATACAAATATTTGAAATTTACATTTAATAATTCCTACATGAAATTTTATAATTTCTGCATGTCACGGACGTACTTTGTTATCTGTCCTTATTTAACAGGACAGAGTTAAAGACACTGTTAGACTTTGCTGTTATTTTACAGTTACTTACGGCAAAAAAGGCCAGTAAAATTCCATAAATATTTTTTACAGTTAATTACTGTAATATGCACTGCATTATGGTCATTCTTATGTAATTTACAGTAAGTTACTGTATATGGGAAATTGCGGTACTTTACTGTTTACTCAAAAGCAGCAGTGCTACTGTAAATTGTTCTGCTGACGAAAAACATGAATCTGCATTCAATGAGAATTTGAGATAAATTGTACTTTTCTTTCTCCATCAGGGTGTGGCCAAAGATTTCCCAAGGCACCAAACACTGGCACGTGACCAGACTCCTCCACTGCAACTACATAGTGTGTGTGTACTTTCAAGACTGAGACTTTATTGTTTTCATTCCAGGTAATATGTGTAAATGTTGAGTTTTTACTACAATTATAATGTCCTTTATTGTTCTCAGTGGCATCTACTCTAATATTAGTCTTTCTTTCTTATTCCGAGGTAGACTTGGGCCGGTATTCGGTAATGCGATATATCACGGTAATTAATATGCACGATATTGTTATCGTGGGCACTTCTAAATACCATGAATTATTATATATTACAAATTATTCCGAATTTTGAATGCATTTTAATAATACTTTTCCCATCAACTGGTTAAAATGCACAACACCGCTGTATGCTGTGTGAAAGACGCGTGCGTTTGAAAGTGTTTTGATTCTTTATTGTTCGGTCACACTTTACATTAGGGCTTCATTAGTTAACATTAGTTAACATAAACTGAAAAATTCTTCTGAACTTTCATTAATCTTATGTATTCCAATATTTAATAACACGTTAAAATCGAAAGTTGCAACTGTGTTATTTAATGAGCTAACATGAACTAAGACTTGTATTTTTTAAACAAAGATTAATAACTTCTGTAGCAAATGTAGCTATTGCTCATTGTGAATGTTAATGCATTAACTAAGGTTAACTAATGAGGTCTTATTGTAAAGTGATACCTATTGGTCTTTATAGTTCGTTTGCACTTTAATCTGTGTAAAACTTTTAACTTTATAAATTTTTCTGTATTACTTTATTGCATTTAAATGTTCAGTTATTTTTAAGAAAAAGGTTATTAAACCTGTTATACTGTATTATGATAGCACTTTTTTTAAACGAAATTTCAATATCGTGATAATACCGTATACCGTAATAAAAGCATTAGCAATTAATCGCAACATGAAAATTTGATACCGGCATACCCCTATTCCGAGGTCACTGTAGCCACCCAGATCCAGTCTGTATCCAGATCAGATGATCACTGCAGTCACCCGGATCCAGTTCATATCCAGTCCAGATGGTGGATCAGCATCTAGAGATGACCTCTACAGCCCTGAATGTCAGCGGAGGTCATGTCAGCTAGATGAGCTCCAGAGACAGATCCCCTGTGAAGACCCCGTCAGCCATTGGGACAAGACCACAAGAACCAGACGAGTCCTCTGCTCAATCTATTCGATCTAACCTGTGCTGCAGCCTGGAATTAAACCACGCCATGCTGGTTTGGTCTGGCCAGAGGAGAACTGGCCCCTGACTGAACCTGGATTCTCCCAAGGTTTTTTCTCCATTTCTGTCACCGATAGAGTTTTGGGTCCTTGCCTCTGTTGCCTTTGACTTGCTTATTTGGGGATGCTTGACTGATTGCACTATTTGCAATGCTTAACTGAACTGAACAATGAGAGCTAAACTGGATGATGACTTCACTGAATCATCAATGAACTGAATTTATTTGGAAAAATGACTTATTGTCCTCTTGCATTATTGACAAACTATTTTCCCGTTTGATGTGTAAAGTTGCTTTGACACCATCAGTATTATATAAAGTGCTATATAAATAAAGATGACTTGTCACTTGATTTTATATACTGTAACATTTTTTTTTTTACTTCTGCCTCATTTTAAAGATGTAATTGTGAACAGTAGTAATATTTGTAAATGTTTGCTAACATTTAGTTTAGTTTTTTTAGTTAATTAAACAAAGTTTAAACTGAATGTTGCAGTTGTATTACAAATGTAATGTTTGTCAACTGGAGCTTTAAAGGGATAGTTCACCTAAAAATTTAAATTTGCTGTTAATTTACTGATCCTCAGGCCATCCCAGTGTCAGGAATATGGACTGTCTGTGTGTTTTGCTCCGTATGTGCTCTCATTGACCTAGTTTTCCCCTTGTGTGTGACATGCCCATATTTGTTTTTTCCTGTTCCCATTGGGTTTCATTGATTCCAAGTGTGTCTCATCATCCCCTCATTTAGTTGATTACTTAAGCTTATAAAGATTAATAGATATATAATAGATTATTTAAGCTTAAATCTATCTATCTGTGTGTGTGTATATTTAAAAAAAAAAAAAAAAAAAAA